CGCAAAGGATTTGGACACAAACAAGAGACTCTTGAGCTCATGAACCGCGAGTACACCACCAGTAAGATAACTCTTTCAAATTACTTTTGACTTCAGATTTCTTTCTTGAGTTTTTCGTAGAATATGGCGGCGAATATGATATATGTATAGCTCAGAAAAATAAAGGAAATACAGCTTAAGTTTATCATACTATGTTTTCGATCGGAAATTAGAGTGTTGTTTTGATCCATCTATAAATATATATATATATATATATTGCAGGTGACATCATAAAGAAATTGAAGGAAAATGGAAACGAGTACACATGGGGGGATGTTACAGTCAAACTTGCCGAAGCATACGGGTTTTGCTGGGGAGTTGAAAGAGCTGTTCAGATTGCTTATGAAGCTAGAAAGCAGTTTCCAACAGAGAAGATCTGGCTCACAAATGAGATTATCCACAATCCTACCGTTAATAAGGTCTTAGTTCCCCCAAAACTTTGATATAATCCATTCACTTGGTCTACAATTATTTCGATTTTGTTGGGCAGCTTTCCCTGCCTGTATTTCTCGAGTTAACTGAACTGGGTGGTCATGTCTTTGCTATGCTACCTTGATATAATCCATTCACTTGGTCTACAAATATTTTCGATTTTGTTGGGCTGCCTTCCCTGCTTGTATTTCTTGAGTTAACTGGGTGGTCATGTCTTTGCTATGCTACTTTGATATAATCCATTCACTTGGTCTACAAATATTTTCGATTTTGTTGGGCTGCTTTTCCTGCCTGTGTTTCTTGAGTTAACTGGGTGGTCAAGTCTTTGCTATGCTACTGTTCTGTCCTTTCCTTCTCATTTTGGCTGATTATACCATTTCATGATCAACTGTATTACACCAGCGACTGGAGGAGATGGCAATAAAGGAAATCCCTGTTGAGGACGGCAAGAAACACTTTGATGTTGTTGACAGGGGTGATGTTGTGGTTTTGCCTGCTTTTGGAGCTGCTGTAGATGAGATGTTGACTTTGAGCGACAAGAATGTGCAAATAGTCGACACAACCTGCCCTTGGGTTTCTAAGGTATGTTTCTTACTAGCTTAGTAGCCTATAAATTGTTAATGTAATTCCACAATTACACTCCACTCAAGAGCATCCAATATTTGCATCCTTGTCAAGGTTTGGAACACTGTTGAAAAGCATAAGAATGGAGCCTATACGTCGATAATCCATGGTAAACACTCACACGAGGAGACTGTTGCCACTGCATCATTTGCTGGAAAGTATATCATAGTGAAGAACATGGCAGAGGTATATTTAACTGTTTTTATTGTTTATTTGAAAGCGGCATCTTGATTATGAAATATAAAGAACATGCACCTGTAGAGTTCAGATTAAACAAGTTTCTACACTTGATTCAGGCAACATATGTTTGTGATTACATTCTTGGGGGTCAACTGGATGGATCTAGCTCAACCAAAGAGGCGTTTATGGAGGTGCAGTTCGAATCACTTACGTTTCATTGGCTGAAATTGTTTATACCCTCCTAGTATCTCATGTATCCTTGTTTTGCTGCAGAAATTCAAACATGGAGTTTCGAATGGTTTTGATCCCGATGCTGATCTTGTCAAACTTGGTATTGCAAACCAAACAACAATGTTGAAGGGAGAAACTGAAGAGATTGGTTAGTTGGTTTTCTACGCTATAGTTCCGTGATTTGTCAATGAATGGAAAACTGTGATGGTGATTTGGTTCTGGAAATACAGGTAAATTAGTGGAAAGGACCATGATGCGCAAGTATGGAGTGGAAAATATTAACACCCACTTCCTTAGTTTCAACACCATCTGCGATGCAACTCAAGTACATTTCATCTCCTCATTCTATTATTTTCCTTCATTCATTTTTTGAAAAACTAGTTTCTTAAGAATATTGAAGGCTCAAACTCGACTTTCCTCTCATTTACGTGCACAATTTGATTCTCCCTCCTTCCAGATGTTTCTGCAGAAACCTACAATCATCTTCGTGGATGGATTAGTTTATGTAGCATACTCTTCTGCCTTTGATTTAGTTTGCCAAGTTAAAGATCTTTGGGATCTCTAGGTTCAAGTTTTTTGAAGTAACTAGTGCTTTTAAGATCACCTCCCCCTGCATTATGTAGCATAGCATTACACTGGTACAGAACATAATTATGAACATCATACATGCCTCCTGATCAATCATCCTAGGGTGTCCATAGTTGATGCTTGTTTACGAGGGCTTATAACGCTGGTTGTTTATTTCCTGACTCGTTGCTTGAATTAAGAACTGATTTATTATTATTATTATTATCTTTTTTTTTTTGGAAGAGGCTTGCTTTTAAGAATTTTCGTACGTTTCAGCCCTCTTCTTGGGCATTTGTGTACGCTGGGTCAAGAGCAAGTAATCTGGCGGAAAAGGCCACTAGCATGAAGCTTAGTCCTATTGTATTTTATTGTCTCAGAATTCATACTTCTCCTCTTGTAGTGAGCTAATATTGCCTTGTATCAGGAGCGGCAAGATGCCATGTACAAGCTGGTTGAGAATCCACTGGATCTTATGCTGGTCATTGGAGGGTGGAACTCAAGCAACACTTCACATTTACAAGAAATTGCTGAAGATCGTGGAATTCCATCTTATTGGATTGACAGCGAGCAGAGAATAGGTCCTGGAAACAGAATAGCTTACAAGTTAATGGTATGTGAACGTGAACGTGAATAACTTCTTGTCATTTCAAGTGATTTCTGAATTATAAAATCTTCTCTCATTCTATTAAAATTTTTGTGTCATCTAACAGCATGGGGAGTTGGTTGAGAAAGAGAATTTTCTACCTGAAGGTCCCATCACCATAGGGTAACATCTGGTGCATCCACCCCTGATAAGGTAATTTCCTAATCTTGTTGGAGGTCCTCAATTAATATTTATAAGGTCGAACGTTCAATTACCTGATTTGTGGGATTCAATTTTTTTGTCTCCTCACCATGCACTTGGCCAGGTCGTCGAGGATGTCCTTGTCAAGGTATTTGACATCAAACGGGAAGAAGTCCTGCAGCTGGCATGAATTAGTTTTGCAGGAAAATATGGTAGTATTGCTTGTTTATCTGTAAAACCAGCTGAAACTCAAAGTTACGAGAGGCAATATATGTAGTATAAACAGGACGACCTTGTAGATGTACACAATACTGTGGCTCCGTTTGAATTTGATTGTTTTTCATAAGCTAGTTCTTCACACACAAAATGCTATAGTAATATAGGAAGTAAAAACAATTTCTAAAACACAAGTTTTTCAAATATACATAAAAAAAAAAAACCTAACCCTTCTTTCTTCTTTCATCCATCATCCACCACAGACCACCTCCACCTCCTGTCCTCCCTTTTCATTCCGATTTTTCCCTCCATTCTCTCCTCCTTTTCCTTCTCCTCCTCTTTCCCTCCCTTCTCTCCTCCATCCAGAAAATGGGGCAGGGGGAGGGGGTTGCGGGAGGAAGAAGGGATGGTGAAGTTTTATAAAATTTTAAAAATATTTCAATAAAATTTTAAATTTTAAAAATACCTCAAAATACATTCTAGAAAACAATTACTAGCCACGATGAAAGTTTTTTACATGCATTGTTATCTCGAAAAGACAGTTCGTTGTCGTTCAGCAGCTGTGAATTGGAAAAGTGGCAACACACCGAGGCTAATATACTGATCTGAAACGTGCAAAAAGGATGACAACAATTCCGAGGACGTGAATATTTGTGGAATTGATTTTTCAAGTTGTGCTCTCGTTAAACCTTCACCTCTTCGATTAACATCAATGCTTTTACGTTTCTAAAAGCTGAAGGCCAAAGATTCAAAGTTGTACTTGAATCAAAGGTTTTAACTATCCTACACAAATGATTGCCAAAAGCCAGGATCCTAGTTTGATTGCAAATGCACGGCTGGTGGAAAGAACTTATCTATGATTTCCAACTCCTTGTGACCGTTTAACTGAAATGCCTCACTTGGATGCTCTCTCTATTTCAGTTCAACTCAATTAGGAACTTTCTTGGGGCTGCGTTGTGCCATCCCCATGTAATTTATCCGTTCTTCAACTGGCGCTATCCAAATTAATTAATATGCTTTAAGGTGGGCTGATGAACCATGTCTTAAAACTCAATTTTCACCTAAAAATCATGTGGGATTTGACCATTTACTTTGGAGCCAGTGCAAACAACCATTCCACATCCAAGCCAGTTTCAAGGCTTCCTGTATAGTGTGGATGACAGACATGAATGCAGAGAACTCTTTTAGTTGTATGTTCAACTCCAGCCCTCTCCCCAGTTGCAAGATTAAGGAAGTAGTGAACAATATATAGCATCACTCACAGCGAAAGATGTTAGACTTTTTTTTTTTTTTTTTTTTAAATTAAATTTAAGCTAAGGAATATCCAAGCTTTGTACCAAGAACGCAATTTAACAACACAGAGATTGCCTGTGACGCAATAGAAAGCATGGTCATGACCCAGATTTTGCTCTGAGATTGGACAAATTTCTGTTATGGGATAAGTTTAAAGCGCAGGCAAACAATTGAGGAATCACCAGCACCGAATATTTACCAGCATGGTTTGATATATCTTTGTTTTGGTGTAAAACCTTTAGTATTGGTGATGTAAAAAAGTAAATTCGAGAGGTGTTATCAGAGCTATGATCCATGACCTCTGCAAGTAGATTCCAAGCATGTTGAACTTTTCGGCCACAACTGCTTGACTGGAGAGTGTTTCAAGGGCACTTCCCATCCCAAACTACTAGGGAAGAAATAGGAAAAACAGAAAAGAATTGCAGAGTCAATCCGTTGTATCGAGGTTACATTGTTGCTGCAACTTTAGATTCGCTACATTACGATGATTACATATATTAGAGATGTTACATAATGCATGTGCCAGGTCGTGCTTGTTCTTCTCTAGGAGTGCAAAGTCTTCTCGAGTTCAGATTGCATGTTGAGAGCTAGTACTAATATATATAACTGGCTGCAATTCAAGACGGAGGAGGAAAAAAACTAAACGAAATTCTTTCGGAAAATGATACAAAATGTTAGGATTCAACAATCAGAGATGATTGAAGGGTGCTGCTCCTGCAGCATAGGATTTTGACCATTAGAAAATAATATGAAGTAGCATCCCACCCCAAAACATGTAAAATGAACAGAAGATGAAGAGTGATAATCACAGACAAACAGTTGGACAACAGAAAACATGCCATTTACCCCATAGGCAAAGCAAATTATGACATTCTCAGCCTCAGTGACTGCAGCAAGTCGCAAAGCTCCTAGATGTCCAGCGAAGGCTGTGCACACAAAGTCGATAGAGAATTGAGAGACTGAAGTGAGCATGGCTGGCAAAGCTATTTTCCACGTCTTTTTAGACTCAGCCTACCATTTACTTGAATGAACTCTTCTCCTGGGCCGTTGCTCAGTCCCTGATTCATGATGGTTTTCCTCCATTCAAGAATCCGACTCTTGTCTTTTCTCCTCTCTACTGCTCTCTCTTCTCAGGTGACAACTGACAACTGACGTCCTGGAGTTTGCACAAACAGCAAGTGCACGGCCTAGAGAATTTCTGATAAAGGGACAAGTTTTGATCTTTAGATAATTAAAGACAAACTTTCTGCGGGGTACCTAAAAAAGTGTTCTTAGCTTTTTTTTTTTTGACAGGACAGGAGTGTTCTTAGAAGTTGGGGAGACAAGAAACGCGAGCTTTGTATCTTTTACTTGTTTATTTCGAGTTTTGAGTTCCTCGCTTCAGATTGCAACGAAGCTAATTTGGTTTGATCTAGTAAGACAATGAGCAATTAACAGTGATTCAAATCCTTTCTTTGTTTATTTTTTTTTCCTTTTGAGATAAAGTACGTGCTGAAGTAAATTACATGATCAACATTATCCGGGCAATTTTTTTCCTTTTTGCTTGACCGAAACAGAGTTGATCCGGTCAATTTTAACTCCAATTCTGGCTGAAAGACTGATGAAATCAAACCGGCTGACGGCCCAATAGTAATTGCCATTCGGGCAGCAACCGGTTCGGAGTGCAGAAATGTCAGGTAGTTTCTTGAGGTTGAGGCAGGTCCGTTGGGGCGGTGGCTCCTCCCCATGTTTTCACACGGTCATCAGCTTCCACAGCCTGCATTGCATCATTGGATAATTAGGTAATCCAGTAAAATCAGATTACCAACCCTCTAAACCCTTCCCCTGGATTCTTTACTGTTCACTTCTGTTGGGGTTGAGTTTTATATTTACCTCTTTATGCCAATTTGTTCGAGATATGATGACTAACAGGATGACAGTCTGGAGAAGACTACCGCCGAACATTGCCCACCAGATGCCCTGCACCCCCAGATTGAATTTGTAGCCAAGCACTGCTCCAAATGGAAGCCCGATTGCATAATAGCACACTATATTAAGCAATGCTACTGAGAACTGCCATCCTCCACCAACAGCTACCCCTGCAATTAATGATCCCTAGAACAATCAATTCTTTTCTGGATTCATACTAGTAGTACATAAATATGATAACAAGCAGCTTTTTGAGCACTTTTTGCTAATACCTAGATGAGCAGCTATACTATAATATGCATCTTGTTTTTCTTGTCTTAAAATTCTTAATTAAGACAACTGATGATGATGATGATGAATTCAGAACTTTGTCAATCTTGTACTGAAGTAATGTTTTAGATGCTAGATAATATACAAAAACCAACCGTTTAAAACTAGTTGGATGCTGTTGAGGAATATGGTTGCTGCGAGAACGTATCCCAGCTTGGATGTCTTTTTTATGACCTGTGCCTTATCTGTAAACAATAAGGGAAACTTGCTTTTTGTGCCAATGATGATTGCGGCAAAGACAATTCCAAGTATCCCAGATGTCAAAACATTGACTATGATTGAGAACTTTGCAGCGTTTGGTTTCCCGGCTCCGAGTTCATTTGACACTCTTACACTGCAAAATCAACCCCATCAAGAAGTTTCTCTTTTTGTTGGAATGACCGATATAATACTGCTACTTAATTTACAAAATTAGAAGATGAATTGAATCACTCCTTTTCACCCTTAAATTTTAATCCTGCAGACAGCAGCATTTGCTTCAGAACTCATTCAAAACGTTTCAACAGTGTATGTGCAAAATCTGCTTGTTGATAAAGGTAAGGTGAAATGTATCTGAAGGTTGTCGGTCCTGTGTTGCTCTCTCCACAAGATTTTTAGGTCATTATTTCATCTGTATTTTAGCAATAATCTTTATCTTGAAGATAAATGACATACCTGACCGATGCATTGAAGCCTACGGCAATCATCATTGTCCATAGCTGCAAGTTCATACTGTTACATCCACAGAAGGTGCAACAAGATGGTTATCTGTCATTGTTCCTTAAGACTGTAGAACAAGGTGGATAGAAAAGACTAAGTTTTCCTATTATACTCCACTGGAGGTGAGAAAAGAGAATACGGAACTAACCAGATTGATATGGCATCGATTGCGACTGCAGCATCCTTCAAACCTCCTACCATCAGGATAACTGCTGTAAAGTACCATAATTCCAAGCTGCCAAAGTTTCTGTTTCTGTTTACACTTTCGGATTTTTTATATAAAGTCTGTAAGTTGCTAGTATTCATCACTCACCATAACATTATTGCTGACGCAAGTGAGAGCTTGACAAAGTTGGTCAGTGACTTAAAAGCTAACCAGGAAAAGCCGTTCCATGCATCTGGAAAACAACCTGATATTGCATAGATTATTTGGGATATATCCAGCAGAAACCATGTGATGTTTCCTGCCATTGCAGCACCGAGCAAGCCGTGGCCGAGCTTCGTCACGAGAACCCAATTTAGTAACACATGGAGCGCCAATGACGCTATAGAGAGCATCGTCATCATCCAAACTTTGCTTTGAGATTGGAAGAACTTCTGTACGGGGAAGTTCAGAGCATATGCAAACAGCTGAGGTATCACCCACAGTGCAAATTTACCGGCAAGGTTGGAGATATCTCTGTTTTGGTGTAAAAGCTTGAGTATGGGCGAGGCAAACACGTAAATAGGAGTCAAGAACAAAGCTGTGACGATGGTGATGATCCATGACCTCTGCAGGTAGATTCCAAGCATGCCAACTTGTCCAGCACCGACCGCTTGACCACAAAGGGTTTCAAGAGCACTACCCATCCCCAACTACGAAGGAAAGATTATACAAAAACAGAGAAAGTCATTGAATGTTAGGCACGAGCAACTGAAAATTCCACCTCTGGTACAAGTATATTTTACTTCTTGTCACATGTTAAAATTTAATAAACTTTCTAACAAGCTGACTCGAAAAGAAACAAAAGTACTGATGCATTCTACAAGTGGGAAAAAAAAATGAAAATTGGCTGAACCTTATAAGTTTCCCGAAAGCTTCATGAAGGAAGCAACACAGAGAAATATAGTAGTATCATCATTCTTTAGTGCTCAAATAAAAGTATGGTATAAAAACATACCATGACCCCATAGACAAAGCCATCTATAACATTCTGAACCACAGAGACTGCAGCAAGCTCAGCATCTCCCAGATGTCCGGCAAAGGCAGAAGTGACAAGTTCGAGGGAGAATTGTGTAACTGCTGTTATTATAGCTGGTAGGGCGATGTCCCATGTCTTCTTTGTCTCCTTCCACAACTTCTCTGGGGTCTTTCTCTTGTGTAGAATCTCAGTCACCTGTCTGCTAAGTTCAGGATGTTGTTCCTCCATTCAAGATGATTTTCTTTTGCTCCGTTCACCCTTAAATTTTATTACCTGACGACCAGAGTTCCAGGCCTGTTTTTTGTATTTCGGAAAACAAAAAAAGGAAAGAGTAGATTCTCTTTGTCCCACTGATTTGTTTGACTTATATATGTCAGGAAATGAAGAATGTTGCTGAGAACTGGGTTGTCACCACGTTTTATAATAACTCACCTACTATGGGGTCTAAAGATAATCATTAAGAGCAAATTGCGGCTGTATTGGTTGAGTTTGTATTGGCCTCCTTAATTTTTTTCTTCCTATGAAGGTTGAATTTTTGATATATTAGCGGCAGACTTGCTAGTTTGCTCTTCCGTCGGGCATTTTATTAGTTATGGCAGCCAAAAAATACCCACCAACTAGTGTGAAAAAGATGGGTTTGGTGCCCGCCTAAGTTGACAAGATTGTCACCCCCCTAATGAACTTCAACGTTTTTCATTAAGCAAAATTGCCTATTGCTTCCACATCCATCGAATGGTTTCTTCTTAGAGTTAGGGGGTCTACCAGAAACTGCAGGTGATATCTTATTTTTGGCATTTTATGTCGACTTTCTCCATCATGTTATTCAGCGTCCAGCACTTCTGTTCCCATACCAAATTTGAGACAAAGTTGATCACCATTCCCAGAGCGAAATCTTGACATAATCTGTCAGCTCTGGAAAGTATTGATAGATAGTAAAAGAGATTGGTTAAAACCTATTCACTCGCTAGTAAAAGCAAGCAGAGTTTATTCACTCAACGTCATCCGTGTTTGTTCCAGCCGTTCAAGTATCTTAAAAAGCAGCAACCTCTTAAAGATGGAGAGCTTTTTCATACCGTCCGTACATTTGGTTTGGGAAGACGGGGGGACGGGCGTCTTTCAACTTTTAAGATAGAGAGAGCTGCACGAGAAGTTGTCACGGATGATCAAGTTTTTTTTCATTTGCTTGCACCTTTTCTGATTTAAAAGTCTTCGACCGACTCCGGCTAAAACACTCAAAAGAGTATTTTCAATGAAGCAGACGTGGAAACAAAATAATAATGATAAGTTGGGCCCGAAGAAACTCTGCTACTGAAGCCTAGAGGAAAGCGGATCCAAGCAATGGAATCAAGGGAGGTTGTACAAGTTGGAAGGAAGACCATTAGAGCTGCACCTAAAAGACTTTGAGCATTAGCAGGAAGTCGGAGCATCCAACATCTCAATTGCGTCAATCTCATCATGGGGCAGCGGCGTTACTGCATACGACCTCACCCGCTCTTCTGCTTGCAATGCCTGCACCAGAAAACACCACCTACTTCACCTACTCCCATCTCTTCCAACAGTAAACAAGCAAAAACGACTTTGCTGATACGCCCACCTATACTGGCTTATTTTGTTGACGCATGCCAACTTTTGCAAATTTTACTAGACTGTGTTTGGTACTAAAACAATTTAGTTAGTAGTTAAATAAATCTTGTTGTTATGATATTTATTAATCAAAGATCATGTTATCAAGTAATTTTATTGAGATTTTTTTTTTATAATAATTGTGAGTCAGAAATTGTGTTAATTTGTTTCATGAGTTTGTGAGTTGATGTTTGAATAACATAAACTCATTTTTGGTTTCAATAGAATACAAAGTCTTTTGTAAGCCATTTTTTGCGACACTCGTTGCGGCGTTGTTTCTTAGTTTATGCCCTAAAAAAATCAACTTTAGGTATTTACTTTTTGACTATCAAATCAATATGCTCGATGCAGGTTGAAAAATCCCAGGACAGAATTTCTTTTCCAAGTCCTCTCGTCATTTTCATGGATGAAAATCAAGTAATGGAAAGTTAAAATTGCAATCCGAACCTCGTTGCTCCAGTTAGCCCGGAAAACGTTCACAACCAAAATGACTGTTTGAAGCAGGCAACCGGCTAACATCCCTGCCCAGATGCCTTTTACGCCGAGTTTGAATTTGTAACCCAGCAAGGCACCGAAAGGAAGGCCAAATACGTAGTAACACCCAGCGTTCACCAGTGCCACTGAAAACTGCCACCCTGCTCCAACTGCCATTCCTGCAATCCCAAATTTCAATTTCGGTTTATGATTATTTATGATTCGCCAATTCATAAATGTCTAAAAGTCTAGGCAATTCAAGCTGTTACCATGAAGCACAGGTTGGATGCTATTGAGGAAGACTGTTGCTGCTAGGAAATAGCCTAACTTGGATGTCTCCCTTATGACCTCAGGTTTGTCAGAAAAGATTCTGGGGAACTGTCCCTTTGTTGCAAGAATTATGACCGTGAAAATTATCCCAAATATCGTGGATGTGGTGACGGCCACCACGGTTGAGAATTTTGCAGCTTTTGGGCGTCCAGCTCCAAGTTCATTTGAAACACGTACGCTGGAAAATGTGATGCAAAAAAAAAAAAAAGTTGTTAATGCATATTAATACATTGCTTTGCCATCTTTTTCTGATTGGGAAGATCTCTTACCTAACGGCTGCATTGAAACCTAGAGCGATCATCAGCGTCCATAGTTGCAAGTTCATGCTGCAACAGCCAAAGAACGGAGTGTAAGCAAGCACCCACATTAATTCTGAGGCCAAACGGCCAACCACCTTTCCAGTAATCACTAAGAAACAAAAAGAACCAAGAAAAAGGCACTAACCAGATTGATACAGCATCTACTGCAATTTCCGGATTCTTTAACCAGCCTACCATAAGGATCACTACAGTATAATACCAAAGCTCCAAGCTGACAACATCACAGAGGATAGCATCAGTATATTTGTGAAGTCAAAACGAAGTATCTTTAGCATTTATGAAGTCAAAAAGGTACGGACCATAGCATGATGGCTGATGCAAGAGAGAACTTGACGAATGAAGCAAGTTGTTTGAATGCTAATGAAGAAAATCCGGTCCATGCTTCAGGGAAAAACCCTCCGACGACATATATTATCTGAGCCAATACCATAAGCCACCAAGAGACGTTTCCAGCAACAGCCGCACCAAGCAGGCCATGCCCAAGCATTGTCACAAAAATCCAATTCAACAGAACATGAATTCCCAACATCACCAATGAAATTATCGTCATGACCCATATTTTGCTTTGAGCTTGAAGAAACTTCTGTATCGGGAAGTTCAATGCGTATGCAAACAATTGAGGAATCACCCACAGAGCATATTTCCCGGCAAGATGGGAAATTCTTGGATCTTGGTGAAGCAGCTTTAGCAATGGTGCTGTGAAGATGTAAAACGGTGATAACAGCAATGCAGTAACTAAAGTAATTATGCAGGATCTCTGCATGTACACCCCAAGCATTTCAAATTGTCCTGCTCCAACAGCCTGACCACAGAGGGTCTCAAGGGCACTTCCCATTCCTAGCTAATACACCAAATAAAAACAGAAGATATTATTGCAAATCCAACCATGTTAAAAAATATATATATTGTTTAATTTAAAACAAGAGACAAATGAGGAGTTCGTAATTTCATGTGAATTTAGAACAAAACTTCCCAGCATTTCCACGATCTCTTCATTCTAGAGAGTAGAGACACAAATTTTGATATGCAATGCAACACAAACATGAGAGATGGTGTCAGATATGACGTACCATTATTCCATATACAAAGCCTTCAATGACATTTTGCACAACGGAGACAGCAGCAAGCTCGACTTCCCCCAAATGGCCAATGAATGCAGCCGTGACAAACTCGAAAGAAAACTGAGCTACCGCTGTAAGTATAGCCGGAGCTGCAATCTCCCACATTTTCTTCGATTCATTCCAGCTCCTCCCGCAAATCTTTTTCCCACCAACTCGCTTTCGCTGCTTATCTTCCTTTTCCTCTATCTCAAGACTCATTATTGGTTCCATTGCAGCACTAGAATCTGTTTCTTCCTCAGCTCTCTCATCAAATATATGCATGATGCAAATAATTAATATAATGGTTTCTGTCTGCCTTTACGATTAAGCTGCAGACAAAAAAAGAAAAAGAAAAAGAAAAAGCTGCAGACAAAATAAGCAGGTAGCACCTCCCTATTATGGGCTCTGTTCTAATTTACGTTTCTTTTTTATCAAATGCAACTCGCTTCCCACGAATATCATAACTGTTGATGACAGATAAAGTCAATCACCAATAAAGCAGTCTCGCATGGTAGACTGGAGCAGAATACAGGGGTAGGTTTGTTATTCTGCATTCGTGCTACCCAGCCTACCCCATGATGATCATCATTGAGGGTAAGAGCCCCCATCGACGCTTTCAACTCCAAGCATCCTACCAGTTCGACCCTAACGTCATCACACATCATTATTGTATAGTTTCTCAATTCACATATACATGAACACCACCAACTAAATCCTTCTTTTTTAAAATAAGAATAATAATAATATCCCTGTTTCACTGAGGTTGGTTTGGTGATTGTCATGTCTTGGCAACGACCAAACTTCATAGTTTAAGGTCAACACGGCAATGCATTCATGTGGGAATAGAGAGAGATTTCAAGGGATCGGGTGCATGTCTGGCTCTGAATCCGTCATTAGCAGTGGAATATTTCGGTATGCTAAACAAAGAAGTCTCCATTAGAATTTGATGTCCAGTTAAGGATAAGAGGAAGAATTGCATTACTACATACATATTCGGATTTTATTAGACTGCTACATATACACCGACAAGCAATTTCTTGCTTTTATATTAGCAATGTTTGGTGAAAAGCATGATGACGATGCAACCACCATTGACCTCACCAACTCTAGTCTTTTATGCCTTTGTTTGGTCGGAGCTGTAATCCATAGAAAAATGGTGAATCGTGGCTTTGTGTCTGTTGATGGGTATTATTTGGAAAACCTGTTTAAGAATGAGATTAAAGTCTCATACTCCGCATATGTCAATGATTCCACAAAAGCCAAGTTGTGCTTGTCCCCGACATCCAGAAGTCAAGCAAAATTTGGCATTGATAACTATACTTGTGTGAACCCGAAAATTTTTTATTTTCTAGCCATTATTTTAATTCCATGCATACTTTTTCTATACTTTTCTTTATTATATTATTTTTCTAGCTATTTTTATAAGAAAATTAAGTTTTCAAGATATTTTTTCGGTATAAGTTAGTTCATGTGACATTAATAGTGTATATTGGACGTGGGTGGGACTCACTAGTGCGTTAAGTACGATAAATTTTGACGACTAGATAAAGTTTTGGATTAAGGGATATTATTTTACCAAGTATTAGAAGATAATTAGAGATTAATTAGATAATTAATCATTGGTAAGCAAGAGGATGAGATTAAACATTCAAGGTGCTAAGTGGCGCGATCCAATTCGAAGTTGGACTTGACCAAAGGTTTCTTAACTTTCTTAAAACCAATTTTGACCAAACTTTCCTCACTTTTCATCCCCTCTTGACCGAACCTTGTAGAGAAAAAAACAAGAGAAAATCCTTCAACTTCCACTTCAATTTCTTGCTCAAATCTTGAATTTCAACCGATTAAATTGCAAACTACTCCATATAAGTTGCTCTTTAGGGAAGATTAAAGCTTGTGGTGGAGTGATTTTGGAAGGGAAAGCACTAAGCTTCTAGCTTTCTTGGAGGAACAAGGTAACATTGGCTAGAATTTCCCTCTACTTCAATTAATTGTCAATTAGTAGTTTAGAGTTGTGAGTTTTATAGTTTTATGGAAAAAATTCATGAAGAAAGTGGTGACTTGGGAAATTCAAATTTTTGGTGAATTTTCTGGTTTTAATTGATGCTTGAACAATTGCCATGAAATGATAGCTTTGTTATGTGTAAAATGAAACTTTTATATGCTAGTTTTGGTT